CGCTTCACCCGAAGCTCCCGTTCGACCTCAGATCAGCCATCCTGATGCCAACATCCAGCACTCCAGCCCACCCCAACGCCCACCCACGCAGTCCCAGAACACTGTCCACACTGCTGATTTCGAGGTGGGAGTGAAACTAAGAGAGGCGCGAAGTACATCACGCGGCGCTGCTGCAGCAGCGTCGCGACGAGGTTGACGATGCCGACACCGCTGTCAACTGCAAAGATTTACGCTCACGGCTCTGCTGCAGCAGCGTCGCGATGGCCCGAGACTGCTGAGGACAAGGCTGATGGGAGCTGGTGAGGCTGCCAGGAGGCCATGGAGGGAGCTACTCGGCGGCGCAACGAACTGTGCTGAAGGGGAGCAGGGAGAGTGGCGAAGGGCGATGCGGTGCGAGACTGTTTGCCATCTGAAGTACCCCAGGACCCCCCCAAGTGCCCCCAAACTTTCCTGGCCAATCCAAGGCCGACCCCTGGCACATCAGTCCATACAAAAAAATGTCAGCGGATCAGGATGTGAACGTCGACGATGGCAGATAGATGTGATGAGGATATCGGAGCGCCTTTCTGGGCGACAGCGCGGGCGCACCACGCGATCTGGCGCACGAAATATAACCTGGTCTAAACACATGCATGCGTCGGCGTCAGCTATGCTCGCGAACTCATCCAATCCACCCCCCCCATTGCTCCCATTGATCTTACATGTTGGGTTGCTACAGCATGTATCCTATCACTATGCGTTCGTTGTCCCCCTCGCTCACGGGAGAGTGGATACCCGCTGCAGCGGGCATCCTGTCTACCGTCTCTCTCCAATGTGTCTTCACTCCACCCCCACGCTGCGTCTCCATCGTCCCCCTCGCATTCCCTATGTATATCACGTCTCCCCCCTGTCTACCTCTACTATAGTCCCCCCTCTCCCCCTGTCTACCTCTACTGAGTTACCGTCCCATTCCGTCGCCCATGTAGTGGAATGCTCCGCGGCGGCCCCCCATGCTCCGCGGTGGCGCGCCGCGGCTCTCATGTGGGCGCTGCAGCGCCAAGGCGCTCGGCGGCGCCTCCGCCCTCGGCGCCCTGCAGGGGCCGCTCGGCGGCCGCCTCCGCCCTCGGCGCTCGGCGGCGCGCACTCGGCGCTCGGCGGCCGCCTCCGCCCTCGGCGCTCGGCGCGGCCGCCTCCGCCCTCGGCGCTCGGCGCGCCCTCGGCGCTCGGCGGCCGCCTCCGCCTCCGCCTCCGCGGCCTCACCCGCGGCCTCCTCCCTCCTCCTGAGGCGCCCCTCGGCGCCTGCGCCTCCTCGGCGGCCTCCTCGCCGCCAGCGCCGACCCAGACCTCTGCTGGGCCAGCGTAGTACTCCTCGGCCAGGGCGGCGGCGTCGGCGCACTCGCCCGCCAGCAGCAGCTCGCAGAGCTGCTGCGCCCTGTTGAACCAGCCGCCCCGCCGCCCTTGCCCTTGCCCTTGCCCTTGGACAAGCTTGCCCTTGCCGCCCTTGCTCTTGTCCTTGCCCTTGCCCTTGCAAGGTGGGCCGCCGCCGTCCTTGTCCTTGTCCTTGCCCTTGCCCTTTATGCAAGGTGGGCCGCCGACGTTGTCCCTGTCCTTGCCCTTGCCCTTGCCCTTGCCCTTGCAAGGTGGGCCGTCGCTGCCATGCGGGGCGGCGCGCGACGTCGGCCGCGGCCGCGCCTTGGCGGCAGCGAGCAGCGCGCCTGGCGGCGGCGCCGCAGGCGGCGTCGGCCGCACGCGGCCGACGCCGCCGTCGTCGTCCTGCAGGACGTCTTGCAGCACGTCGAACTCCTCGATGTCCTCGTCGTAGTCGAGCGACGCCATCGCTGCAGCGAGGCTGCAGCTCGCCAAGCTGCATGATGGGCTTGGTTTCCACCACCAGTACCATAAGTTGGAGGGAGAGGTCCTCCTCCTCCTCTTCTTTCTCCTCCTCCTCCTTCTCCAACATATGGTACAGTGGTGGTGGGAACCAGTCCCATCACAGCAGCTGAAGCTGCACTCGGGCGCGCGGGCGCGCGACGCTGCAGCGCGCGAAGCTGCAGCTGCAGCTGCGCGGAACAAAAACAGCGGCGGTGCCAACGACGAATACGATGGCGACGACGCTGACGACGCTGGCAACGAATCGACTGACCCCCCAAAGTAACACCACCCCCGCAAAGTAACATCACCCCCAACTGAACCTCCGAAGGCCAACGACTGGATTGACCTCCCCAGGGCTGCCCCCTCAGGATAGGAGGAGGAGGGGGAGGAGGATGAGGGGGAGGAGGAGGATTGGAGGGAGAGGAGGAGGGGGGGGAGGAGGGGGGGCAGGAGAAGGAGGAGGAGGAGGAGGAGGAGGACACGATGAGGAGGAGAAGAAGGAGAGGGAGGAGGAGGAGAAGGAGGAGGAGAAGGAGGAGTAGGAGAATGAGAGGGAGGATGAGGAGGAGGAGGAGGAGGAGGAGGAGGAGGAGGAGGAGAGGGAGTATGCGGAGGCAGGAATAGGCAGAAGGATCGGGGGGGCGGGGCATGGGTGCCAACTGGTTGTCTTCCTCCTCCTCCTCCTCGTCATACTCCTCGTCCTCGGCCTCCTTCTCCTCCTCCTCCTCATCATCATCATCCTGCTCCCCCTTCCCCTGCTCCGAGGTGCTGGCAGCGAGCGGTGGGAACCTGTGAAAATGAGGGCGTTCCAGAACGTCGTCCTCAATGTCGTCGTCCTCCTGATCACCCTCCTCCTCCTCATCATCATCCTCCCTCCACCTTCTTCTCCTGCATGCACTGCTCTGAATTACGTCGTCTTTAACGCCGTCGTCGTTGTCTCTGTCGCCGTCGCCGCCGTCGCGATGCTGTATCCGACTGAAACAGTGGTGCTGCAGCACTGACCGCGCGCGCGCCGCGCGCCCGTCACTTCCGCGGCTTCTTCGCGACGTGGTATTGGACTGCCAGCGCAAACGCTGCCTCGCGATCCCCGCGCTGAAGCGCTCCCCGAATCATGTCGCACACAAGCTTCCACATGCCAACCTTGGTCTCAGCATCGCGCTTGCGCGCGGCTGCAGCCGCGCGCGGGGCTGGCACATCACTGGCGGCTGCAGCCGCGGTCCTCGTCGGCGTCGGAGGCGGTGGTGGCGGCGGCGGCGGCGGAGGAGGGGGAGTAGCCGCATATGTCGCATCCGATGCAGCGGACTTCGCCTTCGGCGGCGGCACTGGCTCCGAGGGGAGCCGCCATGGCGGCGTCGCTGCACTCATGTTGGCAGCCATTGATGTTCTGATCACAGGTGGCTGCGAACCACATGCAATAACATAAAGCGAACATGCGGGCTGCAAGCGCGATCGAAGCGCTACATCAACACGCCAGACACACAAAATGTAAGTCAGCGCTGCAGCGCGGCGCAAAAATCTGATATCGGCACGCCAGACACCCGAACGTAAATCAGCGCTGCAGCACGATGGACTCCAAACGCACGAAACGTAAGTCAGCGCTGCAGCGCCGTGAGGTCACACATCGACGGCGGCAACGCGTGAGAGGCACACTTGATCGTAGTGTCGTCGTGCTGCAGCACGCTTGATCATACCAACGATTCGCAATGACACCAACAGTAGCGAACATTGGGGGGATCCACCAACAATCCGCAATTATTATCCCAATCCTCCTCCTCCTTCTCCTCCTCGCCCTCGTCCTCGTGCTCGTCCTCCTCGCTGCCATTCTCAATCGCACTGCCGACCGTGATCGCGCGCCCCAGCGATGCGGTCGACCGAGCGCGCCGCAGCTCAGTCCGAGTCGGCCTCCTCCTCCTCCGCATCGCCCTCCGCCTCCGCTTCCATCTCCTGGAGCTCATCCGCTTCGCAATCCTTGAGTTCGGCGGTGCACCACTTCGCCGCGGCCGCTTCAGCGTCATCCTTGCTGCAGCCGCGGTTTGTGCGGAACAAGGCCGTCCTGCTGCAACCGCAGTCTGTGCGGACGGCCCGCCAAGCTCGGAGCCGCTGCACCCAATAGATGCGGGTGCCGCAAGGAACGTCGGTCTCGTGGCGCCGCGGGCGCTTCAGCACCGTGCTCGCCTCTGCCGCCTCCGCCGCCTCCTGAAACAATTTGGCCTTGATGTACTCTACGCCCTTCTCGTGCAGCACCACCTGCAGCTTGTCCCTCCCCCCCCTATGAGGTGGGGGAATGACTATCTGCAGCTCTGTTGCCTCAGTATCGCCAAACGGCGGCAGCTGCACTGTCTTGAAGCACTTGTCCACTGGAACCTGGCGACTGGCGCGGCCGGACCGCGTGGTCGGGCGGCGGCCTGGCTCCGCTGCAGCGAAGGGCGTCGTCGGCGCCGTTGGCCCCGACGACGCGGCGCGCTGATTTTTCAGCCACGTTAGGAACATCGTGCCTCGCAAGCCCTGAGCCTTGCCGCACGCCCACTTGCTCCAACCTGCGGTGGTCACCGTGATACACTCGCGGTCTCCGATGACCTCGACGGCCGCGACCAGCTCGCGCCCCGTACGGTTGTCGTGCAACACGACGCAGTCGCGCTTGATCGTCGTCATCGCGCGCGCGGCGCGCCGAGGCTGCAGCCCGAGCGCGGTCGCACTTCAGCGCCAAAATTGCTGCGATGGAGTGATGAGGCAACATGTGCGCGGACGAGGTGCTCATGATGAGGTGCGCTGCAGCGCATGTGAAAGATGAAGCGAAGAGCAACGATCACATCGAGCACAACAGTGATGACGAAGCCGCTGCAGCGGCATGTCTGTGGGAAAGGCTGATGTCAGCACCAATATTGTACAGTCGCTGCAGCGACGATGCTGGCGCAACGAATCGTTCCGCGCGCTGCAGCGCCGCGGCAAGTATCGCACTTCGCACCAACCCGCACACTGTTTACACCAATCGGAGGGCCACGCTCGGTGCCGTCATGTGCGCTCGCCGCTCCTTAAGCCCCCTCATCCTCCTCCCTATGCCAAACCTTACCCTGCCTCCTCCTCCTCCTCCTCCGCATCACCCCTCCCTCCTGCCTCATCCTCCCGCGTGGTCCCTCTATATCGCCAGCTCAGGCCGTCCTGAGCTTCTTGGCTGGCCGCGGCTGCAGCCGCGGCCACGGCTTCACCACCGGGAAGTCGCCCGCGGACAGGGCGCAAGTGTTATGCATCTGGGGCACCCCCACCTGCACCTTGTTGACGCCTGTCCCGAACGTCGCGGTCTCCTTTCGGAGCTCCATGTTGGGCTCTGAGTCGGACTTTGCCACCGCCCAGAAGGGGCTGACAAAGGCGTCGGGGCCCCGCGACCCCTCAGCGGGGGGCCCTGCGAACTGCGGGCCCACGAAGAACTCGTAGAGGCCAACCTTCCCCAACGAGATGCTCTCCGCAACGCAGCCCGTGCTGACCCGCGTGGACGAGGCTGAAATGCGACCACTCCCACCGCGTGGAGCTACATGGCGCGCAGTCGGTAACATCACTGACCTCGTCGCTACGGCCTGACGTGCCCCGAAATCCTCGCTACCTCGTGCTCAGCGCAGCGCTGCTGCGCGGCGTCGTCGGAGGGGGGCGCGGACGATTGCGGAAGCACAAGTCTGACGAGCTCACCCACTTTGAACGCTCGCTTGCAGCGCACGGCAGGTGGGTCCTGCAGGATCTCCAAGTGCAAAATGTTCGCCTGGTACTTCAGCGCTTGGAGCCGCAGCGCCATGTTGCATGCCCCCTTGAACGCGTCCATCGCCCAACCCTCGTGGGCTGGCGGCAAGTGCTCCTTCGTGAACGGCAACTGCTCCTGCACCCTGGACGTCAACTTGTAATTCTCGAGCAACATGTTTACTTCAATCCGCCCGCTCGGCTAACTGCTCCGTGCGCTGCAGCGCATCGACCAACCCATTGCAACTTAAGTACAGGAAATACAATATCGCAGTTACTACCTCCTCCTCCCCCCTCCCTGCTCCCCACGGGCGGCGGGGTGGCTGCAGCCGCGCAATGGAGATCTCTTCGCCCACCAGGTCGCCGTGCAACTTCTTCTGAGCGGTGATCCCATTCTCCGAGATGGAGAGCACCTCGAAGACGTCATCCACCTCCTTCTTCTGGACGATGTGCTTCCCCACGTCGAACCCTGCACGCCGCATGCGGAAGACGTTGCTCTTCAACTCAGCGGCCGACGACGCTGCCGCGCGCGGCGCGTCTGCATCGGCGCTCGCTGGGAACTCGGGTGCGCCATCGCCTTGCTTGTCGGTCTGCACCGCCTTGCCGAACTGCGATCCCCAAGCTCTTCAAGCAGCTCTTCATCTGCAGCTGGGCTGGCTCCCCGAGCTCATGGAGGAAGACCTCTCTGGAGGGTCGCTGCAGCGACATTGAATGGCGAAAAGCAGGGAGGGAGGGAAACAAGGAGCACACGAAAGGTGGCGTGAGAAGATACCTGTGCTATATCTGCTACGCATCCGAAAGTGCGGTCTCCTGGCGCTCGCTTCTTCACCAGGTGCATGGCACAGCGGACATCCAACTTTGTGATGTGCAAGAAGCCCTGCTCCGCTCCGATATCCAACCTCTTCACGAGCGACCTTGCGTCGGCCATGAGGTTGTCGGCCGCAGCCACGTCCGCCTTGCGGGGCGCGACGTGGACGATCTCGTTTGCCTTGATCCGCCCATCGCTTCAGCGATTGCGTTTGGGAATAAAGCAATGTAGCGGTGCGTGTGTGTGTGTGGGGAGGGGGGAGGGGTGGGTACGCAGTTCTAACAATGCAGCGCAATGCATAGATGCGCTGCAGCGCATGTCACTACAAGGGGGCGCCGACAAGCTTATGGATGGTCCTGCACATGCTATCCACCACGTGCTCGCCTGAATAGTTGGCCTTCACGAGCGCCGCTACGACATACGGGTACGACTCCTGGTGCTTCCCCCATTTAATCGAATTCAACTTGCGCCAGAATTCAGAGCCGCACATCAAAGTTTGCCCCGAGACGTCCACATTCGTGAAGGTCTTGAGGGCTTCATCTATTTCACGGAGAAGTTCTCCGTTTTGTGGCCCGAGCTCAACAAACTTGCACAAGTCAGCGATCCACGCCTTGCAAGGTGGGTTCGCGTGGCCCGCTTGCTCGGCGATGTCGCGCCAATCGGGCTTGCTGGAACCCTCAGCGAGGCTGTGTGCCAAGAGCATCCGCCCACCTGCCTGCAGCAAGCGCCGAGCCGATCAAGTGCTGCAGCACTGTAAGATATAATGCTCCTGCTCCTCGTTCTCACCTCCTCCCCAACGCGCTCCCACTCATCACCCTCCTCGTGCATCATCCTGGTCCTTACTACATACCGCTATATACTATAGTGGGGATAGGCTGCAGCCTGACCGAATGATCTCGGTCTCGTGAACCGCCTCCCTGACGTCGGCGTCCAAAGCCCTCTGCACGAAGTTCTTGAGGCCCTCCACTTTGGCCACCGCGTGCTTGATGATCAGCCACGTCAGGCCCTTTTTGACCGCCGTCGCAAGTTGCGGATGCAACGCGCACAGCTTTTCGGAGTCGATGTTGTCCCGAGAGTCTGCCAGCGCCTTCACTGTGGTCGGCGCCTTGGCCAGCACGCAGCGGAGGAAGACGTTCGTGTGGGAGCCGCCCACTGACGTATACCGCAATGAGTCCAGCGGGGGGCACCGACCCCCGCTGAGCCGCGAAAGGCGGTCGTTCGCCATCGCGGTCTCTTCCAACTGCGCCCCCTGCGGGGCCTCGAAGGCAGTGGCTGCAGCCGTCTTGGCCAAGACGAAGCCCTGGGCGCAAATCTTCGCGCCTAAATTGTGAGCCCGCGCAGGGTTCACTAACGAACCGCTGCGGTTCCGAATGTCGATGCCCATCTGGTTCGGTGGGACCTGCTGGTAATACGCTAGCCCCTCCGCCAGCAGGAACTCCTTCAGTTGATCCCACCCCGATGCCAACCTCCCCGAGGAATTGCTTTCCTCGATGTACTGCAAGATCTGCTCCTCCTGACGCGCCTGCAGCGCCATGCCAGCGCTATATATAGCGCCGAATGCAACGTGCGAGCCCGCGGGCGCGACGGCGGATGCGGCGCGCGGCCGCAGCTTGAGACAAGCTGTCGCGCGGCGTGCGCGTGAACATCGACTTGCATGGACATGCAACTTGCGAGCAAAAATGTTGATCTGGGCTGCAGCCCGAGGCCCATGAAGCACGAGCGCGCACGCGCTGCAGCGCGATGCGACATCACGACGACAACCATTTTTTTGCGCTGCAGCGCAAAGTAACATACGTGCTATCAAATTTGGAGCGCTGCAGCGCTCAATGCGACCATTGAAAAACAACGAATACAACAAAACATAATTGACATGTGCATTCAAATTCCTTGCAAACGGAGCTGGGCGAAAATGAAGATCCGAACAACGTGCAACTAGAAAACATGCATTTAACTCCACATTCAGCGCTGCAGCGCTTCATCTTCAGCGCACGCAGCGCTTCATGTTCATATAAATCCGAAGGCAGCGCTGCAGCGCTTCTCATATTTAAAGCAAAAATCCAGGACACCGACTCCAAATCAAAATGCAAAATTTGTAGCGCTGCAGCGCTCAACGAACAAACTCAGCTCTTTCAAGACGTGGATTTACCTTTTTTCCCTGTGCATGGCCCTTGGATAACAAGTGCAATGTAACCGCTAAGTCACTTATAACCTACTTAGCAAACTAGCTATAAGCGGTTATAAGTGGTTAGCTAAGTGCGCTAAGCACTTAGCTAACTGGTTATAAGTGGATAGCTAAGTACTTACTAAGTCATTACTAAGTGGGCCACTTAGTAATGACTGAGTAAGTACTTAGCTAAGTCCGCTAACTACTTACTAAGTACTTAACTTAGCGTAGTAAGTATGTTAAGTACTTAGCAACCGCCGCGGCCATCCAAGCAGTCCAGGCACCCGCACTTCCAGCTGCCGGAGGAAGGGCCCCCGGAGCCCGAGCCGGCAAACCCGGCCGAGGAGCAGGGGCCCCGGGAGGCGGAGCCGGCGGCGCCGGCCGAGGAGCAGGCCCCGCCGCAGGCTCCGGAGGAACCCGCCTCCGACGCGGTGGAGGAGCTCCAGCTCCAGATCGTCCTGGAGGCCTCTGAGAGGGAGAAGGCCGCGAGGGAAGCAGAGGAGTCACCCGACGGCCCGGCCGGTGACGCGGACGGGGAGCGCCTCGGGCGCAGCGTGCCGGGGGGAGGAAGCCCTCCGGCCCAGGGTGGAGGAAGGCGCTTCCAGCCGCGCCAGAGCCTCGGGTCGGAGAGGGGCCACGAGGAGGATGGCACCTTCGAGACCCGGGAGCTATTCTGGTCGGACGCGTGGCGGCAAGCCCCGAGGGGTGGCGGCTTCCGCCACGTCCTGCAGGTCCTGGTGGAAATCCTCGTCGACGAGCAGAGGGAGGGGGCCTCCTCCTCCCCCGGTGGAGAGCGCCTGTTCCACCTGGAGGACTTCAGCCGCATGGCCCAGGCGGGACTGGGCCAGACCAACGGGCGGATCGCGGCGGAGTATCTGAGGGACACGTTCGGGGTAGGTGTTCAGACCAATACCAACCCGTCCACCGGGAGGGAGTACAGGATCCCCGAGGTCATGGAGAAGTTGCAGGAGACGAGGGAGGCAGCCATGCGGAGGAGCCTGGAAGTGACCCGGCCGGAGGCAGAAGCCCCGAGACCAGCCCAGGGCGGGATGCCCCGCCCCCCCCGCGAGGCTGGGGAGACCGCCGCACGGGACAAAGGGGGGGCCCCTACCAGCCGTGCACGGGAGGCGACCCCGGAGCCCCCAGCGGAGGCGATACCGCAGCTGGAGGAGACGGACTGAGCCGGACCCGGCCTTGTGCGGGCGTCCGGGAGGCGGGTGGCCCTTTCCTTTAATTCACCACGGACCCTCCTCCCTCTGGAGGGGTGGCTCCGCGTTTTTGGGCCCCCCTGCGCGCACGCCGGCCGCCGAGTCATGAACGTGTTAAGCGGCTGTGCAGGTTGCGGGCAGAGCGGCCCCCGCGCGGCCCCGGTCACTTTCCCCTCCCCGCCCCTCGCGGCGCACTGCGCGGACATGCCCCGGCGCGCCTGGAGCTGAGCCCCCCCTAGGTGGAGCTCGGCGGTGGAGCTGGCCCGCGGTCATTTGTTTAATCGACTCGTGGGGCCCCGCCCCCTGCCTGTGAGCAGTTTGCCCGCCGGAGGGTCGGCGGTGGCGCCCCTGCTTCCCCGCGCGCGTTTTCCCGCGCGCCCTGGCGCGCGGCGCCTGGTTGGACTTTGTCCTGCTCGGCCTAGCAGGGCCGTTCCCGGGGCGTGCCGGGGTCTACAGCTTCAGGACACCACCTTGGGCGGACCACTAGGGCCCACCCGTCGTTTAAGGAGGATGGAGCTGGGCCCGTCCCAGTTTCAAGGAGGGTCGGAGGCGCCGCGGTGCGGGGCCCCGGGTCAGCGTGGGCGGAGAGCCTGCGGCTGTGCTCGCGGTCGTCGCCAAAACGGCGCGTCTCCCTTCCTTCCCTCCCTCTGCTAATCAACGCGAGTGAGGGTGAATAGTGTTTTGTTTAGGCTTGCTTAAACAGGGGTATTCACCCACGGCAGTGCAACGGCTGCTCCCCTTCTTCCTCCTCTTCTCCTCCCACAGCTGTTTCAGCTAGCTTGTGCCTTTTCCACCACCCACCCCTCAACTTTAATTGTTCCCGCCCATCGAGGGATGGGCGGGCGGAGAGCCTGCGGCTGTGCTCACGGTCGTCGCCAAAACGGTGCGTCTCCCTTCCTTCCCTCCCTCTGCTAATCAACGCGAGTGAGGGTGAATATATATATATATATATATATATATACATACAGACACATGTCTATATACGTGGGGGCGCCCCC